GTTATTATTATTATTGTTATTATTATTATTATTGTTATTATTGTTGTTGTTGTTAGACTGGCTTAATTTTTTTCCAGTTTTTCAGCACTTGTTTCTAGGTTAACGTTTCGATTGCACCTCGTTTCAAGGTCTATATATCACCGTTGGTATTATTATTATTATTATTATTATTCATTATTATCATTGTTGTTGTTGTTAGTTAGTTTGCATATAATGTAAGGTAATCACATCAGAATGAGAGCATGCTTTTTTCAAACACGTGTCGATACGTGTTGGGAGTATAAGTAATAATGAAAAAAATAATAATAATGATAATTATAAGAAGAAAAAGAAGAAAAAGGAGAAGAAAATCATAACATTCACCATCATTGTAATCATCATCGTCGCCGTTGTCATAAGCATCGTTAACATCTAGACACTAAATAATTACAAAAATATGTCCTCCATTTTCACCGCCAAATTTGAAATTTCAAAATTTGAATTTTCGAGCTGCAATTTATCATATAAGAATGTATGTATGTTTGTGTGTATGTATGTTTGTGTGTTAGTGTGTGTGTGTGCGTGTGTTTGGTGTGTGCGTGTGTGTAAGTATATTTGTGTATATGCGTGGATGGATGGATGTTTATATACCACGATAAAAAAAATACACTAGATATACAAAGATCTTCGTGACGAAATCCTACAGCCAATGTTTAGTGGTTATAACGTGACCTTATTTGCCTACGGCCAAACTGGGTCGGGCAAGACCTATACAATGATGGGAAATGAGGTCAGGTTACTTTTAGGCAAATTGAATGGCTGGGTGATTTTTGTTTTGTTAAAGTATTTTGCGTGTTGGATTGCAACTGGCCGATAGGAAAGCTAGGTGAAAGAAAGTCGACATATGATTGGTTGGCTGGGATTAACTATTTAAATAAATGATTGATCGGTTAACTGATTGATTGATAGTTAATTGATTGATAGTTAATTGATTGATAGTTAATTGATTGATAGTTAATTGATTGATAGTTAATTGATTGATAGTTAATTGATTGATAGTTAATTGATTGATAGTTAATTGATTGATTAATTAATTAATAGAAAATATATTTGAAAATGTGTCTTTATGAAAAAATTTACCTTCTCCTTTTTCCATTTCAGAAAAACAAAGGCCTGATTCCAAGATTGTGCAAGGTTAATATTAATAATAATAATGATGATGACGACGAGAATGATTAGTTTTTCATCAATTAATTTTTAAAAAATTGTTTTTTTCCAGGGCCTCTTTGAAGAGCTTAATAGCAAGGCGATGCTCAGTAAATGTAATAATAATAATAATAATAATAATAATAATAATAATAATAATAATAATTGTTACAATAATGATAATAATCTAAATAATAATAATGTCGACAATGATGATGAAACTACGTTTGAAATCCTAGCCAGGTTAATTAATTATAATAATTATAATTTTATACATGCTTACGTACAAACGTACAAACATACATACAAACATACAAACAAACATACATACAAACATACATACATGCATACATACATACATGCATACATACATACAAACAAACAGCTACATGGAGATATACAATGAAAAAGTTTACGATCTGTTGGATCCGTTTGCGATATCATCATCATCATCACCACAAAAATCATTATCATCATCGTTTCATCATCATCGTAATAATAATAATAATAATAATCGTAGTTATAATAATAATAATAATAACACTAATCATCTTAGTCACTCATTAAGTTTTTCTCACAACAGCTTGAATAGCAGTTTTAATAATAACAACAATAATAATTATTATAAAACAAATAATAATAATCATAATAAATATAACTATAAGAATCATAATAATAATAATAATCGTCATCATCATCATCAGTCTCTTCATCATCGTCATCATAACTTAAGAGTTAGAGAACATCCGAAGACTGGCCCGTATGTTCAAGGTCGTTACTACTATTATTATTAATAATATTATTTTTATTATTACTATTGTTGCTGTTATTGTTATTATTATTATTATTGTTGTTGTTGTTGTTGTTGTTGTTGTTGTTGTTGTTGTTTTAGTCGTCGTCATCGTCTTCAGGTTTATCGCGACACAGAATAAAAGACAATGATTCCATACAGAAGTTGATAAGAAGAGGAAACTTACTGAGGTTGTTGAATGAATGAATGAATGAATGAATGAATGAATGATTGAATGATTGAATGAATGGTTGAATGAATGCATGAATGAATGCATGAATGAATGAATGAATAGTTTATATGTAGATGATTGAAGCGCGAATGATTAAAATTTTAGACTAGCGAGAAAAAGAACAAACGAACGAATGGTGAATGAATGAAAGAACGTAGGAAAAAATAAAGATGAATGAATGAATGAATGAACCAATAAATGAACGAATAAATGTATGGATGAATGAATGAATAATTGGCAGACGGACGGCTGTCACCCGAAACCACGATCAAAGCAGTCGGAGTCATGCCATC